GAGCCGGCGCTCCTGGTCTGCGCCCGGGACGCGCGGAGGCTCAGCGAGGCCCCGGCCGTCGGCCCGGAGCGCGGGGACCAGGCACCCAGACGCGGGGACCGTCCTCCTGGGGGCTCCGAGGGCGCAGGCTCGTGCCGGTCGCTGCGGGAAGGTGCGGGCACACGTGGGGTGAGAGCGGGAAGGTGCGGGGCGGATTCCTTCCTTAGCACGTAGTTGTGTGCCCCGAGCCCTCAGTGCGCACAACGTGGACGCCGGGGAAGCATCGGTGACCAGACACGAGTCCCCGCACGGCCTTTCCTTCCAGGAGCAGATGGGTCAGAACAGAGTTCGCCGCCCCACCCGTCTTCCAGCAAGAGTGTGCCGCAGCCGGGCAGCCCCTGTGGCGGGTGGTCACAGGCCCCTCCCAGCGGGCAGAGCGTCCAGTCTCAGCTGAGCTGGGCTGGGCACCCTGTCTCTGGCCTCCTGCAACTGGTGCCTCTGAGGGGTTTCGCCGAGAAGGAGCCAGGGGTGCAGGCTGGAGTGCCGACCCCCCAAGGAGTGTGTTTTGACACAAGGGGCGTCGATGTGGTCCAAGGCTGGACGCTGTGTGGGTCCCAGGGGAGAAAAAGGTGAGACGGTGCCAACGCCAGGGTTTAATTCTGAGTCAGAGAGCAGGACACAGTCAGGGACGGCCGTTCCCAGCCGGGTCCGGGCCTCTGCAGGGCTAACCACGTCCTGGGGGCCTGCCTGGGCCTACTTGGGGGTCACCTTCTTGGACTTGCTGGGCAGGGAGGTATCGGACTGGTGCAGGGGGAGCACTCGGACACCTTTCTGCTTCAGCTGGTTGTAGTAGTCAGTTCTCTCCGTGATGATCCTCTACACAAGAAGCACAGCCATCGCGGTGATCGTCCCAGCTCCGCACTGGGGCCTCCAGGCTGGCTGCCCAGGACACCACCCCTTCCTCCCCAGGAGGACTCCCTGTAGCAGTGGTGTGCTGGGAAGTATCTACAACTGGCTCTCGGGGAAGGGAAGCAAAACAGCTCTGTTTTGTAGCATTTGCAGATTTCTGTGGTCTATGCTCCACCCAGACGTGGAGTCACAGGACTCCGGGTGGGAGGAGCCACCTAGCTCCCAGGGGCAGCCGCTGTGGCCTAGGCTGAATGCATGTCACTTGTCACTCCTAGAACTGTGAGCCCCGCCCCCAGACTCCTAGAGACCTTTGAGGTCGGCAGACCTGTCCCTCAAGTCCCTTCTGTCCTGTGCAGAGGGAAGGTTGACCCATCCCTCTCCAGTGTCCCCCGAGCTCCTCCGAACAGCCCGCTGCTGTTTCATGTCAGGCAATGGCAGGAAGGCAAAGGTGTTCTTCCCTGGCTACCGTGTATGGCTGCCTCCCCCTTCTCCCTCCTCTCCTCTACCCCTCCGCTCCCTCCCCCAGACAGCAGTGACAAGGCCAGAGACCTCCCCCACTGTTACAGCTCTGCTAGGCATCCCTGCCCAGGGCCCAGCCCACTCCACAGGGGGAGGGAAGCAGCCCCAGGGAAATGTGGGTGGTGGGGAGTCACGGGCACACTCTGGGGTCCAGGGACAGCCCTGCTGGAAGGGGTGTGGGACTTGGGAACAGAAGCAGCTGCGGTGAGAAGTGACCGTGTTCAGGGCACGGCCCCACAGCGAGCTCTGGGTCCCAGGACGCCTGCAGGAGGCATGCTCGCCTGTTACAGGAGGGAGCATCTAGGGCTGAGAGAAACGAGAGCCCCCTCTTTGCTGCCTGGGGTCGGGGGTGGGTGGTGACCCGCTCCTGCCCAGTGACCCCAAAGCCTGCATTATCTCCCCTACAGCGTCCTGCCTCTCGAGGCCTGGGGACCCGTGGTCAGGGAGGAGGCTGAGGCTGAGAAGGGAGGGTCTGTGCCAGGCCCTGGCTCAGCAGGGGACGATTCCAGCAGAGGGGCCAGGCTCCAGCTGGGGGGGAGAATCTCCAAGACCCGAGCAGCTGTCCCCTCCCCAAGGCATTCAGAAAGGGCACTGCTGGTCACTTCTGCTGAGAGCAGCCCAGGCTAGCCAGTTCTGTGCATGCTCGGGGACAGTCTGGTCCCTCTGCCTGAGCAGAGAGAAAGGATGGTCCTGGCAGTCCCGGGGAAAGGGAGACACGGCCAGGATGAGCATGGGGTCCCCTGAATCTCACACAGGCCTCCCCACCCGTCTCCAGCGGCAGATCTCTGGGCTCTGGCCCCGAGGTCGGGGCAGCTAGCCAGGGAGGCACCTGCAGGGCTTCCAGGATGTCGTTGTCCGAGATCTCAGTGTTCGAGGCCTTGACCCCGGGGCTGCTGAAGGTGGCCTGGATGATCTTGTTCCTCAGTCTCTCAAGCTGTGAGCAAGGGGAGGACACCGTCACTTGCCTTCGCCAGAGAGCTGCGCCTGGCGCGCGGGCTGCGCCCTCCCACCCCTCCTCATGTTTTGCAGGCCGAGAAGGCACCGCTTACCCTCGCTTGCCAGGGCTTTAGGATCAGAGAGGTCACTGTGGTCTGCCTGAGAGCTAGAAGGTGCCGGGTTGAAACCCAGACCCAGGGTGGCCTAGCACCAAAGCCCAAAGACTTCCTACCTCGCAACTGTCTTTTTTTTTTTTAATTGGAAAAGTAAAACCTGCACGTAGTTCGACAACAACACACAGTTCAAAAGCTCGCATGACCCCTGGACCATCCTCCCTTCCTAGAGGAGCTTCGGTGAACAGACTCTCCGCAAGCTCCGTCTGGCCCTTGCATTTGGCATTCAACAGGTGACTTGGCGGCCCCTCGTCCTTTCCTCACTGACCAGGAGGCTGCGGTGCTGTAGACGTCAGCGTCTAACCGGCCCCTGTGGACGGGTCTTTGCGCCATAAACATCCCTGTAGGTGAGTGGCTGCAGCCCACAACCCCAGAGATCAGCTGATCACACCTCCCAGGAAACTGCAGAGGAAACCCCTCCAACCTGTGCCCGGAAGCTTCAGACAGGGTCCCCCAAGCTACAGCGACAGGCTCAGCCCCAGATCCTCAGCCCTCAACGTCCAGAAACCCTGACAATTTCAGAGGCGCCCAGTGTGAGCCAGGCCGTGAGGCTTGGCAACGCCCCAGAGGCACAAGCGCGTCTGGTTTGTCTCTCGCACAGGTTTAAGTGGCCCCGGGAAAGTTACGAGCCCCTGGGCCCCGAGTAAGGAGTGGGGTCCCTTCCTTCTCTCCAGCAGTCGTTGGCTGCCCACTCTGTGCCGAGCACTGTGCCAGGTGCTGGGGACGAGGGGACTTAGTCCCTGTACGGGGGGCCTCCCCCTGGCTGGTGGTCACCTGGGGTGTCCAGTCTCAATTCCCCACCCTGTGAGGCCTTATGCCTCAGTCCTGGCACTGTGTCCTGCGGAAGCCATCAGAATTCTCCACACAGCTGTACCCAAGCAATGTGACTTGGCCGCAAAATGACACTTATAGGGGACTACTGTTGAGTTGGAAACAGTGTTCTAAAGATGCAGGTGCGGGGTCTCAGTGACGCCCTCCGACCCGGCCAGAAGGAGGCCGGCTTGAACGGGAGAGAGGACACAGGCGAGTTACCATTGGCGTCCCTGCTGGGGCCGGGTGGCAAGGGAAATGTTATTTCAAAGGCTGCACACACGTGAGCTTCCCCCTGCACGCTCTCGGATTCCACATCAAGGTGGGCTGTTTCCTGACTCTCCTCGCTGGCCTGGGTCCCTCCTGGGCAGGTGCCCCGGCCTCCCCTGTGCCTGGGCCACACCTACTGTGGCAGTGACGACTGCTGGGTGCAAACCCAGCAGGCCCTCTGTGCCGTCTGGGGTCTCAGGTGGGCATTTATCCCCTCCTGCTTGTCTGCGGAGTGAGGGTGATGACAATCACTGCTCACGGTGGCGTGGAAAGGGTTAAGTGACTTTCCTGTCAATCAAGTGCTCAGCGCATTGCCGGGCCTAGGCCCTTAGCCCCACTCTCTGCAATCATAAATGGGGAGGCCTGGACGCCCTCTCCCCGCCTCCCGACAGCTATCCAAATCCTTTCACCCCTGCCCCTTAGCAGCGCAGCCCGGGCCCCAGACACAGACAGCCCCTGCCCACAGGGCTCCCTCCTCCCACTACCCGGGTGCTTCACTGCACCCTCGCTGCCTCCCCGCCCGCATTTCTTGAACCTGAGCGTCACGTCAACTCCATGCGGTGCTGGGAGACGGACCACCGCAGGGGGCGGGCAAGGGCCTGGCGCATACCCTGGACTGGGCGCTTTCCAGGGCCACGCGGGCCTGCTGCTCCGCCTGCCCGATCATCTCCTTCTTGCTCTGCAGCTCCTCCTGCAGCCGCCTCCACCTCTGCAGGTGGTTCTGGTCCTGCTCCACCTGGGCCTGCAGCTCGCTGGCCTTGGCGTCCAGCTCAGAGACGACATGGTCCCGCTTGCGGAGCGCGTCTTCCAGCTCCGACACGCGCTGGGGAGAGCCGGGGGCGACTCTCACTGGGTTCCTCCAGCCGAGGGCGGACCCAACCACAATCACAAAGAGCCGTCTGTGGACCCGTGGCCCGAGGCTCGCCCAGTGGGGTGCTGCCCCGGGCTGAGAGGGCCCGACCAGGCGGTGAAGTTGCTCCAGCCTCACCTCGCCCAGCTGACCCTCACCACGCCCAGGCCGTCACCTGCCGGAGGAAAAAGTTGTCCTTCTCGATGCACCCCATCATCTCCTGGTGCTTCTTATCCTCTCGGAGGCCGGAGAACTGGAAGGCAGACAGAGGGGCTGGCTCAGGACACTGCTGGATTGCAGCAACAGACTGAACACTGGCACCTAACTTCGCTCCCTCCCTCCCGAAACCACCCTAAAACGACAGCAGCGGGATTTCTGTTGAAGACGGGAGACGGGAGAAGAAGGAGTACTGAGAATAGCTGGGAGGTCGGAAGGAGAGGCCAAGTGGTATCTGATTTGCACATCCCAGAACTCTGAACCCCAAGCCGGCGGTAGGGAAAGCTGCAAAGGAGCCCAATTCACACTGGAGTTCCCAAGAGCCGGAGAAATTGGTGGTGCTGGGTTCTCCTAAACATGGGCTAAAACGCGGGGAGTGGCGGGGTGTTGTTTCAGCAGCTAAGAGGCCCAGGCTCGTCCCGGACATTGAGCTGCGGGGCGCCGGCCCTTTTCCACCCTGGCAGGGACGTGATGTGGGAGACATCCCCTGGTGAGGGTGGAGAGCCGGGCTGTGCGTGGACACTCCCGGCATCTCCCCACCGGGCTCCCAGAGGTCCAGCAACAAAGGCTTTGCCCTCCAGGCAAGAAATTGCTCCAGTTTCCTAGATTTCTGGGGAATCTGACCAAACCAAAGAAAGACCTAGAAATACTCTCCATCAAAATGCCCAGACACACCCCTCTGCCTCCCAGCACGGCATCGTCACCCGAGTGCTCAGAGATCCCAGTCGGCTCGGACGTTGGAGCAAAGTCCTCGAGCAGATGATCGAGACCAAAAGCAAACTTAAAAAAGGAACTCGTGAGAAAGAAGCTAAAAAACTGCGACTATAATTAACGCTGTCATCGAGGGAGGAGAGGGTCTTGCAATGGTGAAACAGCAAGAGGGCGCTTCAAAAAAGGAGAGAAAGAGGAACGTTCAGAGAACAGAAGGGAGATCTTGTACATTTAAAATAATGCAAAAAAAATTAAAACTCAAGAGGAGGGCTGCCAATGAAGTAAAGGAATCTTCTAGAAAGTAGATCAAGAAGACGAGGAGAGGAAAAGTGGGAGGGAACAGAAAAGAAGAAAAGATCAGAACAGGAGGCCCAACAGCCAAACGACCGGAGAACCAGGAGACTCCACGAAAACAGAGGAAATGACAACAACACAACCAAAGAAAAACCCCAGAGCCGAAGGACACCAATCTCCAGATGGCCACGGAGCGCCCAGCGCAGCGGAGGGAAGTTCACCCTCAATGAGGCCTGACGCTGTGAGGTTTGAGAACACCTGGGACAGGTCGGATCTCACAGCTTTCCAGAGAGGAGCAAACATCCACTGAGAACCATGTCATAGGAAAGAACAAGGATCAGGGTGACCCTGGACTTCCCACCAGTGACCCTGGGAGCCAGAAGACAACGGAGCAGTGCCTTGGCAATGCAGAAGGAAAACGCTATCCAAACTGGAACATTCTCCAGCCTACGTTCTATCGATGTGCAGGATGAGGACACTTGCCGACATAGCCTGTCCCCAAAGTGTCGCTCGCATCCATCCTTTCTCAAAAGACTACTGGAGGATGTGCTCCACCAAAAATAAGGGAGAAAGAGAAAGATGTGGGTTGCAGCAGCTTTAAGATCATGGTTTATGGATCTTAACTTGTTTCTCAAAACTGTTGTTTCATTTACGTATGTGTGCTATAAATAGCTGTCCCGGTGATGTCAGTGAAACACGTTCTGGCTGACATTGTGACAGAATGATACTGGGAGGAGGGCGGACGGAGGGTCCCCTGTGTGGGGCGGGCAGGGGAGGAACGAGGGAAACGTTAGACGACGCGAAGACGGAGAAAAATCTAAAATGGGCATTATGCGCACGCTACTTAGCTCCATGGAGAGAGCTTCCTGAAGAACCTGCTGGAAGAGTTGAAAGCAATTGCCTTGGGGGAGGGGCAAATGAGAGGGCTCAGGGCCAGAGGCTTCTGCTTTTCATAAGGAGCCTCGCGGCACTATTTGACTCTTTAAGCGACGTGCATGAATAACTGTGATAAAAATAATAATGCGTAACAAAACAGCAAGACTGGGCTCCGTGGCGTAGCAGCCTCTCCGAGCGCGGAGGGGGCTCTGGGCCCTCGGACGCAGGGGCCAGGAGGTGCTTGAGAAGGGGCCGAGGGCACAGTGACAGGGAGACGGAGGGCAGTGAGCTGTGGCTGGCCCCGGGCACCCCAGCTCGGTGCTGTCCTCTGTGGCCCTCGCTGAGGGAGGCCGGCAGCGTCGCTGAGCGCGGCCACCTTGTCGGTCATGGCTTGCAGCTGCTGCTTCCGCTCTCGAAGCTCCTTCTGCAGCATCTGGTTCTCCGTGCTCATCCTTCGCAGCTGGGATTCCTGGATGTCGACTTGATGTTGTAAAGACGCAATGGTCCCTGCGCGGGCCGCGGGCGAGGAGGCAGCAAGGGCACGAAGGCGCCATGAGGAGCAGGCAGGGAGGGCGGGCGACCTGCGCCCCACGCCGCCCTCCGCCCGCCAAACAGAGGGCCGGGCAGCCCCACTCCTGGGCCAGGCCCCGCCGGCCCCGCCTCCGCCCGGGTGGCAGACGAAGCCTAGCGTTCCCCAGCACCCCCCGCGTCCTACCTGTGGCGAGGGAGTATCTGGTCCTGGTGACCTCCAGCTCGTACTGGAACTCCAGAATCACCTGCTCGTACTCCTCCAGCTGGGCCATCAGCTCTTCCTCGAATGACTCGCCCAGGGAGTAAACCCTTCTGGCGATCTCCTCTTCCTCCTCCTCCAGCAGCTCCCTTTTCTCCTCCTCCTCCTCCTCCTCCTCCTCCTCTTCCTTCTCCTCCTCTTCCACCTCATGCACAACCACGGTCTTGACCACACCGCCCTTTACCCTGGCGTCCTCCGCCCCCTCCAGCTCCCTGGATGGACCCTCCTCCTCCTCCTCCTCCTCCTCCTCGCCGCTGCCCTGCTCCCGCTGCTTGCCCATCTCCACCGCTGCACGCTTCTCCTGCATCTGGGAGGGGAAGGCAGGGGCTGGATAGGGCTGGAGGGTGGCCAAGGGCCCCATCTGAGGGCCACCCCAGGTCAGGGCTGCAGGTGGGGACACCCCTGGCCTGGGCCGCCTTAGCACACTCCAGGCAGCCTGGGGGCTCCTGGGCTGGGCCCACGCCGTGCCCTGCTGCCCGTGGCCTCGCACCTGCTTGCCGCACGGCAGCTCCTGCTCCCTGTCCCTGCGGAGGGCCCTCAGGATGCTCAGCCGGCTCGCCCTCAGCGGGACCTCCAAGCGCCGCTCCTGCAAGAGGCCGAGTGAACACTCAGCTTTTCCAGCCACTCCTGCGGCACCCTCCCGGGGATGCCGCTGCCTCCTGTCCTCCTGAAGGGGGCAGCAGCCTCTCCATGTCCAGGCCGGGGAGGACCCGTGCCCTTCTGCCAAGGGGACAGGGGAAGGCAGTGCCATGTCAGTGGAGGGGGGACGGTGACCTGCAGATGGGCAGGTGGAGGCGCTGGGGCTTTGGGCAACCCCAGAGCAGCCGCCAGCAAGTGGCCTTGCAGCGAAGAGCATGCCTACATGGAAGAGTCTGGGGGCCTCAGGCCACTCACACCCACCCAGCAGCCGCGGGAGGATGGGGACAGAAGCCCTGCCCGCTGCCCCCATCTGTGTCTAGGCAGTTCTCTCCAGGATGTCCGGCATACTCTGACGCCTTCCCCTGCCCCCTACTTCATGTCTGCCCCAGCGTAAACTCAGGCTGTATCCTCAGGTGTGAAAGAAACTGGGTCTCAGGAAGACCAGGTGGTCGCACAGACCCGCCTGGTCCAGTTCTCCACCCAGACCTGGACAGGGCGGCTGCAGCCCCGGCCCCAGCCCCAGCCGTCAGGAGCCTCATGGCCAGGAAGCGGGGAGAGGGCATCCGCGCCAGGGCGGGCCACCCACAGCAGCAGCTTGGGCAAGACCTGGGGGATCCACCTGCAGCGGCGGCTTTCCGTCCTCCCGGATTTCAGAGGCCAGCTCAGCCCTCATTTCGCAGGTTAGGAAACTGAGCCCAGAAAGCGCCGTGACTCGCCCCAGGTTGGAAGCAAGTCGGAAGCCAAGGGCAGGTGTCTGGACAACCAGCTCACAGCTCTCATTGCCATTCCCTGCTCTGCCCCCTCTCCCCTGCATTCCGGCCTACAGATCAGAACCCAGACCCGGTCCAGTCCGTGCTCCCAGCGAGGAACCAGTAACATTCCAGGAGGCCTGGGTTGTGCCGGACACCTGCGGTCACCGGCAACTTGGGAAACCGGACCCGCACCCTCCCCACCGGGAGCTGGCTCACCCTCCTGAATGGGGACACGGGTGTCTCTTTGGCTTTGCTTTTCAGGAGGGATTTCAGCTGCTTCTTCAGGGCCTCCCTCTCCTCTTGGAGCAACAAGATCAACTCCTCTTTCTTCTGAACCTGCATCTCCAGCTCGGACAGGCGCTGGATCTCCTCTCGCAGCATGAGCAGGTGGTGATCCTGCGCACAAAGGCAGGGCCACCCCTGTGGGCCATCCAGCCACACGGACTCTCCCCCTCCTGCCTCCAGCCCAGGAGGAGCAGATCTGCTGTCCCAGAACCCCAAGTCCTGAGACCAAAGCGCGTCCTTCTAGCTCCTCACTGCGGCCGTGCCGGGTGCCTCCAACACCTCCCCACCTGTCCCTCGAGGAGATCCAAGGAGATTCGTGGCAGATGCCCTTTCAGGCCCAGCGCATGGTCAGCGCCCCCACACTAAACCAGCACACCCCCTAAAAGCTGCCCCAAGGGGCTTGTCAGGGAGCCCCCCACCTTCTGTTCTCAAAATCTCAACTCCCTCGATTCTTCAAAACTGAAGACAAAAATAAAGATATTTTCAGGCAAACAGAAATGGAAAGAATTTTTCACCAATAGATCTGAACTAAGAGAAATGCTAAAGGGAACTCTTCAGGCAGAAGGAAAATGATCCCAACAGAATATTCTGGAAGGAAACATAACTAGAAAATCCCCCAAATGTTTGGAAATTAAGTGATGGGCTTCTATATAGTCCATAGGTCAAAAAAGAAATCACACAGGAAGTTAGAAAACATTGTGAACTTTGGACATAGCAAAACTTTATGCAGCTAAAGCTGTGATTAAAGACAAATGTATAGCCTTAAAAATGCATATATCGGGGAGGGATAGCAAATCAATGATCTAAGTATTTCAAGAATTTAGAAAAAGAACTGAAAATTAAACCTAAGGAAAGTAGACAGAAGGGGAAAGTTAAATACAAGAATTAATGCTATGGAGAGTGAGAGAGAGAGGAGGAGGAGGAGGAGGAGGAAAGAAGAATAAAGCAAAAAGTAGCAACATTTTCATATTTGGGGAATCCGAAGGGTATGTGGGAATTATTTGTACTATGTATTCTCACAAATTTCATTTACGTCTGAAATACAGAGTTAAAGTGGAAGAACAATATTGCAGAAATCACAGTTCATCACCCTGGCAGTGGTGACTTAGAGACATTTGCACGTGTTTTAAAACAGCCAATGAGTTCTGGAAAGAACATGCTCATTTCCAGTTGGAGCTGCTGAGTTTACACAATGCAAACTTGTTACTGCTGCTGGCTCTCTTGCCACCAAATGAGAAAAATTTTATCTATGACAGCTTGATGAAGGCAGAGATGAGATAAAGAAAACTCTGATGATACCGTTTGGGCTGCTGGAGGCAGCCAAGCCTGCATCCCTTCCCTTGGCTGGTTCACATACCTGATCTGATAAGTCCCCCCTGCTGTTTGATTAATAACAACAGTGCCATGAACAGCCTTTTCATAACCTGTGCGACTCTATCTAGTTACATCCTCAGGCTGTTTCTCAAAAATGGAATTGTTTGGTCAAAGGGTAAGAAACACCTTTAAAATTGTGAAATCTATACTAATGCAGTGCTAGAGTTTCAGGAGTAAACATAAAATGAAGATTGTAGACTCTCACCCCCTGGACTTGGAGGCCCCACTGTGCCAACATCCAATCACATTCTCCCCTGAACCCACATACCCCACCAGCTCTGCAATATTTTGTTACTCATGTCCATGATTTTCACCAAAAGCTTCACCAGCTTAAAAAAATGAATGAATACGATAGAAAACAATCATACATTAGAGAAAATCGGCAAAACCTGAAGCTGATTCTAAGAGGAGGAGATTGAAATGGGCAAGCCTCCGCAAGACTGACGGAGAAAGGGGAGAAGGCACAAGTCACCATCCAGGAACGAAGAGGAGGCCACCTCTTCTACAGCTGTGGAGAGGAAAATGGTTATCCTCGCGTCACCTACAGCGTGAGGCTAATGCATTTGAAATTTACACGAAGTAGACACATTCCTAGAAAAACATAACATACCAAACTGAAACAAGAGGGAAAAGGGAATCCGATTATCTTCTAAGGGAACTGAATTTGTGATTTATAAATTTAATTTAATTTTATTTTTCTGAGACAGGGTCTCACTGTCTTGTCCAGGCTGCAGTGCAGTGGCCTGATCATACCTCACTGTAACCTCCAACTCCTGGGCTCAAGTGAGTCTCCTGCCTCAGCCTCCTGAGTAGCTAGGACTACAGGTGTGTGCAACCATGCCCAGCTAATGAAACTTTTTTTTTGTAGAGATGAGGTCTTGCTCTGTTGCCCAGGCTGGTCTCGAACTACTGGCCTCAAGCTATCCTCCCACCTCGGCCTCCCAAAGAGCTGGGATTCCAGGTGTGAGCCACCGCACCCAGTCTGAATTTGTGATTTTTAAAAGCTCCCATGAAAGAAATCTCCAGGCACAGATGCTTTCAATGATAAATTTTTCGGAAATTAATCTTATACAAACTCTTCCAGAGAATGAAAAAAGAAAAAAGGAAGTACTTGCTAGCCTCTTTTTTTTTTTTAAATGAGGCCAAACTAACCTCGACACCAAAGTCTGACGAGGGAATTACAGGTCGGGGAAGTTGTAGGTCAGTCTCTCTCATAAACACAGAGTTTTTTTAAAAAAGAACAATACAGCGAATCAACCTGGATGCAAATCTTTGCCTGTCAAGCTGTCATTGTCATTACTATTTAGAATCCAGTCTCCAGAGTGCAGTTTGTGGGTTCGAAGGTTCTGTGGGTGGCTGGTGGTCACGTGTGCTGCTGAGCTGCTTAAAGGCTGGTGAGTTCCAGACACTCACTGGGATGAGGAAGGACAGGGACCCGGGGACTTGTCAGGCAGGGGGTCTGGAGGTCATTCGAGACCATATCTGGGGACCTGCTTGACACGGCTAACCGGGTACTAGAACGAGAGTCTCCCAGGCGGGACCTGGAGCCAGGGAGTGCGGGGCCGGTACCTTCTCCCGAATGACCGAGAGGTACCAGGGCGTCCTCTTTTTTGGGTGGCTCTGGGATGCGGCTGAGCTGCTGGTGACCGGACTCAAAGTCTGGGAATCGCTCGTCTTCCGCAAATAACTGAACTCGCAGGCGCTCTTACTGAACAGAGGGAGGCGCCCTGCGGGGAAGCGGAGGACCAGTGAGAAACCACATCATGCCTGCTGAGCCCTTCTGCCGTCTTGGCGACAGCATCCGTGCCCCAAGACTTCCCTCAGGGACGCCCGCTGCCCGGACAGGCCCTGACGGCCTCTGACCCATCTCACCACCGTTCCCAGGCCGCGCGAGCGCAGGCGCCACACCCAGACCTGCGTGAGCGTTGGAGAAGCGAAGGACACGTCCAAGCGCTGGTCAAGACGCCCAAGATAAAGGAACCGGAGCCGGGGCCAGGACACCAGGGACGTCCTGAGGCTGTCCCTGTGCACCTGGCGGCCCGTCCCCTCCTTGGGCCTCAGTTTCCCCATCTTTAGTCTGAGGGGTGGATTCTCCACCTTCCTGAGCCCAAGGGGAACAGGTCACTGCAGCTCTAGGTCTCCTCAAATCAATGTGGGTTTCATCGTTAGGGAATGAAAGCAAGTCTGCTCGTCGGTGGAAGCAGTGTGCTGTGACCTCTACCTGGAAGGAGGGATGCCCCTCCCGGCCTTCATGTAAGGGCCAAGTTGGGGACAAACTCCCCAACTGCAGTTCCGCCAAAGACAAGGACCGCTGTCCAGGCCCGCAGCAGGCCCTGCAGTGAAGGCAGGGCGGCTCTGTCTAAGGGAGCCCGGCCCGTCGCTCGGGTCCTCAGAGGCGGGCAGTCTGGGAAGGAGTTCCACGGGCAGGTGCCCTGGGGGGAGCAGCCTGCTGCTCAGGGCCCCAGCAGGTGTGGGCAGAGGCCCTCAGCTCCCTCACCGTCCAGGCTCGTGTCCGAGCCCCGCCTGGCCAAGAGCAGGTCCTGGGTGGGCCCCCACATGTCCAGGCTGAAGCGCACCTCCGCGGCCAAATCCACCTGGGTGGGTGAACCTGCGGAGCGTCAAAGATGCCACCTTGTGACTGCCGAGGTCTGATCGCCCCAAGATCCCCAGGGCAGAGACTATTGTGTTATTAATTCTTAAGCACCAGGTAGGGTGGAGGTGACTTTTCTCCACGGGTGCGTGGGACTGAGCTGCGGGGCTGAATCCAAGCTAAAGCCTGGGCTCCAGCCTCCTGCCACCTCCACGGCCGAGGCACAGCCGGGTCTCTGCAGCCCATGGCTCCTCCCCCTGAAAGGGCAGAGCCCACCTTCCTTTGTGAACACGCGCTTCCTGAAAGTCTTGGGAAGACCCCTGCCTCTAGACCAGGGCAGACCTCTAGACCCCAAGGGCAGACCCCGTTTCCTGTAAATTGTCGGGAATCGTCCCAGTGACAGGCGCCTGTGAGCAGGATGTGGACACAGACCCCACACCCAGGAGGCCACGTGGCCCCTCAACTCTCCCAGGGACCTGCCCACAACCACTCGAGGCCTGGGTGGCCGGCCACCCCCCGAGACCCGCTTGCTGAGAAAGGGGGTGCGTGGGGCCCAGGCAGCTGGGGAGCCCCACCGCTGCCCGACTGCGGCTGAGATCCGTGGAAGGAGCCCCATGGCTGAGCCTGGAGCTCACCATCCCCAAGGACACTGTCTGTGTGGGGACACGGAAGAAGCCGGGGCCAGGAGCTGGGACGTGGGCATGAAGGCTTGGCCCCGAGCAGCGTCCTCCCGGGTGACCACCGAGCTGGGCAGTTGCTTCTCTGAACCCCATGTTCTCATGGAACCGCGAGAGGCTGTCAAGACGCCCGCTGTGAGCTATTCGTGTCTTTGGCCTCATGGGCTTCCCCGCCCCCCACGCTTCCAGAATCTTCAGCCATGTCCCTGTGCCCTGCCCCAACCCTGCTGACTCTCAAATGGCACGACGGCTAGAGACAGACAATGACAATGGTGAGGAGGAGGGTCGTCCCCTCAGCCCCAGGCCCACGCGGCCCACACTGGCCGAGCGGTGGGGAGGCCCCCAACTCTGAGGGGACAGGCAGTTTCACAGGCGGCCCTGGCGGGGCTCTTACCACGGTTCGAGACAGGCGTGGCCCTGGTGCTGAGCTGCGGGCAGTCGGGACGCGTGAGGAAGGCCTCGTGAAGTCCCTCCATTTCCAACTGGAAGCCACTGGGGCGCACGCTGTGCTCGAGCTCTCGCTGGGCGAGGGAAGGGAGGACAGTCGCTGAGAGGCGGGACCCTCAGGCCTGTGTGCCCACTGCCCCCGCCTGGGCCGGCCCTTCCCGGCAAGAGCCACGCAGACCCTGCTTTGGAAACCGCGTGGGCCAAGTGCAGGTAAGGCGTCCGCGTCCCCAGGGAGGACTCAGGCCCCCGCATGACGATGCGGTCACCCTCCCTGCTGCACTTCCCTGCCTCGGTTTCCCCCCTCCCCTTCGCTGTCCTTTCCAAGACACTCCTGAGGAAGTCTGGGGTCAGAAGCCCCCTTCCCTCTCCCCACCAGAGAAAGCAGCAGCCTCAGTCTGCTGGGGGACGACCCAGAGCTGCCCACAGAAGCCCGTGGAGCTGGCGACCCGAGGCCCAGCCTCTCCGGAAGCGGATGAGACCGACAGGGTTTCTGCGCCTGGAATCTGCCGAGGGCAGCCCCTCACCAAACGCCTGCGGAACGCTCTGTCAGCCTCGGGAAGCGGGTCACGTCCAAGTTAGCTGTGCTTGGCCAGAGGGCCCGCCCGAGACCCCGTACCTCCTTCCCGTAGTAGCGGCTGACGGCCTGGGCGGGCTTGCTGAGGGGGCGCTGCTTTCGGGGCAGCTTTGGTTCTGGGCACTGGGTGTTCCTGCTGGCCACGCTCTGCAGGACCACCAGGCCCCTGGCGATCGAGCCGGGCATCGAACTGTGCTGCTCAGACTTGCGGGCTGCCGTAGGTAACATCGGGAGGGTGGGACACGAGGACCAAGGTTTGCCACCCGAATGAGGACAGGGGACCTGCTCCTGGGGACCTCTCTTCAGTCTGGCTTGGGGTGTGGAGGGGAGCACAGCCTTGGGCGGGGACCTGCCGACCGGTTCAGGCAGGAGAAGCCCCACTTCCAAAGCTCCATGTCCTGTGGGCTCCTGGGAAGCGGTGGTGGCATCACAGATGTCTCCATAGAAACAGGGCATGTCACAGTCGTCTCGAGTTTTTGCAATTGGGGAGAGGGGCAGGGAAGGGGCCTCAGAAGCTGTTCCGCCAGATCCAGGGTGGCGAAGTGCAGGGGAGGCGACCGCGGCACAGGCAGCCCGTCCTTCCTTCCGTGGGGTTTTCCCGCATCTTCACGTCAGCGTCTCCCTTGTTGAAAATGCGCTGCTGTGTCGGTGGCCCTGGTATTAACATTTTCACGTCCTTGGTGCAAACCCGTGATCTAGAAGCACTTCTTAACATTGGGGGTGAGGAGAGAGACCTCTCCCAGAGGAGGGCTCGATGTTATTGCGTGTGTGTGTGTGTGTGTGTATGTGTGAGTGTGTGGTAAAACACACATAAAATTTGCTGTCTTAACCATTTTTAAATACAGAGTTCAGTGCCATCAAGAACCTTCACCTCACTGCACAGCCATCCCCACCGTCCGTCTCCAGAACTTTCCTTCAGGGCACTCGGGAACTTGCCCTGATGGCGTGGGCGGTCTCTCCTGGCGGTTTGCTGTGCGTGTCCCTAATGATCAGGACGCTGAGCCTCTTCTCACGTGCTTACTGGCCATCTGCGTATCTCGTTGGAAAATTCCTATTCCAGTTTTTTAATTGTTTCTTTGTGGGTTTTTGTTTACTTCTTATATATTCTGGATACTAATCCCTTATCAGATGTAAGATTTGCAAATATTCACTCCCGTTCTGTGGGCTGTCTTTCCACTCTGTTGACGGGATCCTCTGATGCACAGGAGTTTTTAATTTTGAGGAAGTCCAATGTATCTGCTTTTTATCTTGTTGCCTCGTATCCTATCTAAGGAATCATTATTGAATCTGATGTCATGTTTTCTTCTAAGAGTTTTATGGTTCTAGCTCGTGTTTAAGTCTTTGATCTATTTTGCGTGAATTGTCGTATATGGTGTGAGCATGTCAGGCACTTACTGGGTGCTGCACCAATATTTAGTTGAGTGAATGAAGTATCGTTTCTGGCCTGTAAGACTTCCTGATGAAAAATACTGGAAGAGCTGAGACTATTCCAGCTTATTTTCAAACTTTAACGCAGTAGCTATTTAGGGCCAGCAAATAGGCCAGGCCTGTTTTAGGTGCTGGGGAGAGGGGGGTGGATACGTGACCACCTCTCTGCCCCGGGAGCTTACGTTCTAGCCTGAGACATTTGGTATCGCCTCTGTTTTTTCCCAGCTGTGACCCATGAGTGCACCCACAAATTCTGACCCTGAGTTCGAAATCTAGAAATGGGTTCAAAACAACCCTGAACAGTTTCTTACCCTCTTTCCTTTCTCTCGTCAAACAGAACCCTGACTTTTTGCATGACACTAATTACTCCAGCTAAGATGACATGTCTCGGCTGTGTGAAAAAGTCATCGGGTTTCCAGAGAGCTCTTAAAGCAGGGAAGGGCTTGCTCAGGTCCACCCTGTGGTCTTCCCTACTTTCCACTTTCTCCATCTTTGAAACAATGTCCAGAGGTCCAGACCAAGAGGTGACCTTGGTAATGAGACCCATTTGGACAAGAAAGACCTAGAAGAGAGCGAGAAGCCTGGCGCCCTGCCGCTGACCTCCTAGGCCTTGAATGACTGTCTCACTAAAGGAAATTCATGATCCCATCCTTTCTAACTTTGTAAAAAAATTAATTTACCACCCCAAAATGCCTTCAATTTTTTTTTTTGCATCTAAATAAAAATTACAAAATGAACCTGTTATATGGTTGAACTTTTGACATGCAGTCATACACCACATAATGACATTTTGGTCAATGATGGACCACATGTACAACGGTGGTTTCATAAGATGATAATACCATATTTTTACTGTACCTTTTCTATGTTTAGAGATGAAAATACCATTGCGTTACAGTTGCCTGCAGTATTCAGGATAGTAACATGCCGTACAGGTTTGTAGCCTCGGAGCAATAGGCTGTAGCATACAGCCCAGGTGTGTGGTAGGTTCCACCATCCAGGTGTATGTAAGTACCCTCTGCGATGTTTGCATGATGAAATTGCCTAAGGATGCATTTCTTAGAATGTATCCCTGCCATTAAGTGATGTATGGATGCCTGACTGTATTTATTTATTTTTTGGAGGCAGAATCTCCCTCTGTCACCCCGGCTAGAGTGCAGTGGCATCATCGTAGCTCACTGCAGCTTCAAACTCCTGTGCTCAAGCGGTCCTCCTGCCTCAGCCTCCTGAGTAGCTGGGACTACAGGTGTGCCACCAGCTAAGCTTTCTATTTTTAGTAGAGACGGGGTCTCGTTCTTGCTCAGGTTGGTCTCAAACTCCTGAGCTCAAGTAATCCTCCTGCCTCGGCCTCCCGGAGTGCTAGGATTACAGGCGTGAGACACCCCACCAGGCTTCATGACTGTTTTTGATAAAGAAAGAGAGCTATATTACCAGCCTCAAATATTAAGAAATAATTCTCACCTTGTCAACTTCTGTTTTGGTAATTATTTTGAAATCTTTCGTATGCAATTTCTAATTATTTTGGAACGTGGGCCACATTAAATTTTACCAACTTGGCCTGAGGTCCAACATGTTTGAAAATCACACATATGTCCCTCTGTGTTTATACTGGTCTTTTAAATTCAGTTCAACGGGCTCCTTATATACTAAAACACTCAAGTAGATTTCCATTCAGTTAACAGAAATTCACAGTGACAGGTTTTATCAATAGAGAAGCCATTATTAAATAGAAAAGTTACATCGGGACATTCAATCTATATAAGCAAATCAAGGCTTCTGATATTCCGACTTCATGTGCAAATGGCTAGATTTTCCCCACATTTAGAGAGCATGTTGGAGTTGGCTTAAATGCAGGGGGCAAGAGAAAACGTCTGTGGGAAGGGGGAGAGCCTGGAGGCTAGGCCATCATGGGGACAGGTGTGTGGGTGTTGGCTGCAGGTACCTCCTGCTGCAGCCCCCACTCCCCAGAGCAAGGCGCGGGTCGCTGGTGTGAAGTGAGGCCGTGTGTCGAAGGCACACCTGCGTCCACCTGCCCGCCCAGTCCAGGGCCCACGCGGGTTGGGCGTCCCCCCTGCGTCCCACACCTCACATAGGAGCTGCGTGTCCGTGTACTCACGGAAGAGCAACCTGGGGTTTTAGGGCCGTCATTAATAAAACCAAAGTGGAAAGTCAGTTGCTAAAGAGCCTGTGATTTGGGGTTATTTTTAAAAAGTTTTAAATTGCAAAGTCACTTCTTATAAACATAGCATTTAATAAGAAAATAAAGCCTTCTTGGCGATTAGGAAACTCCTGTGGGGGCAGAGGCTCCTCTTGGATATACCAGGCCCGGAGAAACCGCCGAAGGAGTGCGGCCAGCACCTGGAGGCAGGTGCATCCAGAATGGGTCAGCACTCCTCTCCAGGGACCGCCTCCCTTCTAGGCCCCGCCTCCAAGTCCAAAGCCCCGCCTCCAAGTCGAAGGCCCCGCTTGTTGGTTTTTGCCTTAAATCTCTGCGAATGTCCTTTATGTCCAGGGAAAGGAAAGAGCAGCTTCTTGGGGCCATTCAGGTGCACGGAGCAGTCCTGGCTGGACCTGTCAGCTGTGGACCCGCCAGACGGTCAGTCCAGGCCTCTGTGGTCAAGACGGAACCTCCGTGAACCTCACCACGGTGCGAGCACAAGACCTGCCTGAGATCCGATGCTCCCCTTCTCCCTGTTAGGGAGAGGCAGGAACCTTCTGGTGGCATTATCCTCACTGGAAATTAAGAAGCCTTAGAAACCGTGTATGTTTCATTGCTGGTGTAACCAGATCTTTCAGGATGTGACTTCAGACCCAGGGACAAAAGTCGGGGCTTGCTTTTCCGGTCTGTGTTGAGCTCAGGCCTGGTAAGGGAGGGGTGCTCTTCTGGTCAGAGACCCCTTGGCAAGGGTCCTGGGGGTCCTGGCCGGGTCTCTTAGGAAGAAGACGGGTCAGGAGTCGGACTTTGCAAACAGACCCGGAAACCTGCAGTGTCAGCTTCTCTGTGTGGCGGAGGAAGCGATTAGACTAAATGTCGCTGCATGAAGCAGGCCGCAGGTTTCCTTGGCCTTTTTTGGACACTTAGAGCCGTATTTTGGACATTTAGACCAGTTTTCTTGAAGAATCTGTGATTTTATGCACGGTAATATTATACAGCACCATTCTTAAGAAATATGAAATACCTGTCTATGATATTAAAAACCCATTTCATTGTTCTTGTCTGAATGTAGACTTTCTCTTTTGCTGTCAGTGAGGGAGTGAATGATACTGTTTTCCCCCCAAGGGGGCATGGAACACGTTCCGGAAATAGGCCTTCTGTTCTCTTTTTAGTAGTGACGTAGTAGAATTGTCCCTGCGGAGGATGACGCCTTGCAGCATGGAGGGTCTGCTCTGAATCCAGCTTATCTTTTTAAAATTACTCGTCAGACCTATTGGAAATGTTTCTCTATATTTGAAAATAATTATATGTATTTCTCGTACCTTACTTTATTTTTTTTAAAGAAAACTTTTTAAACAAAGGTATTAATATTAAAACCCACTCTCATGCTGAAAGCGCTAGCCTCCCTGTGTTCATCCCTGAAAGGGCATTTATGTTCTGTGTGGCTGTGTCTTTCCGATGAAATGTCCCGAATCCTCGCTTCCCATCGGTTCTGAGGTACTGGCCCTTTTGTGACCCAGAGTTCTGTCATGGTGGTGGGGGAGGTGCAGCCCACTCAACCCTCCACGGTGGACCCCGGGGACGGGGGCCGAGGCTGGGAGGGACAGGCAGGTTGCGCGGGGCAGTGTGTGTGAGTGGGCACCAACCAGGAAGGCGTTGTGGGGGCTGGGCCAGAGCATTGCACCTCACCTGGCCCCACCTTCCCCCCCTGCACACAGCAGGAGTGTGGGGGACCCTGGTGGAGCCCCCCATGGGTGCAGCACCACCTCAGTGCGTGTGCGAAGGATGGACTCACTAATGACCTACGTGATAGAGGACAATGACCCAACTGAAAGGGAGGGAAATAAACTCACAGCAAAACCGCCCTGTGTTTTTATTAAAACGCCTGTGACCTAACTTCTTGTCTCTACGAGTTCCTGCTCAGCCTTGGAGAGCCCTGTGCGGACAGTAGGAGCGCGAGCTCCCCGCTCCAGCTCTCTGCCTCAGCTCCCGCCAAAAACCAGATTCCAAGGACTCAGACAACCCAGACTCACAGAGAAGAAAAAGAAAAACAGAAGTCTCTGATGTGTCGCAGCTGCTTCTGTTATGGGTCTGCTGAAACAGAAAAAAAAGCGATTTTTACCCTTTAAAACAGCAAGCGGCTTTCCCTCCGCTGCCCGGCACTTGCTTCCTTCCTGTGTGTGCCGTGGCCACCCCGCCATCTCTTTCTCAGGAAAATGAATAAACGTTCACGTCTGTGTAGTCCCATCACTAGTGAGAATTCTTTCCCAGCCCGCGTACGGACCCCCACCCACGGTGTGGAGTGCGGCGTCTCTCCCTCCCGCCGTCGTCCTTTCTACCTGCTCCACTGCGTCTCCGTCCAGTTTGCAAAGGACTCAGGCCTCCCTTGAGGTCGGACAGATTCTGGGGGCTTATTTTTGCTCTGACGGGTCCCCAGTCCCTCACAACTCTGAAACTGAGAATTCTGAGAACCAAGAGGACCGGAATGAAGCCTTTGGCTGCACAGCCTGGCTCGCGCGGAATTGCTCTCTGCCGTCTTGCTGTCTCAGGTTTTGCTGAGAACCATGAGTGCGTCCTGTGAGCGTGTTTGTGACACCAGAGACCCCCGTGACCCTTCTGAGGTCCAGGAAGCCCAGTCGGTCCTGTGAGGTTGGCTGGCTTGGCCCATGTCCTCCCTGAGGCTGAGGCAGAGGGACAACCCAGGAGAAAGCCAGGGGCGGTGCCAGGGCCTGGCCGCGGAGCCGCACACTCCTGCAGGGAGGAGTCGGCCTGTCTGTGCCTGAGCACCTCCATCATCCGTCCGTCTCGAGCCCACGGGGATGGTTTAGTCATGGGAGCCGGTCATTGGAACACATGCTTTATTATGTTACAAAAACAAAAAGTCCCGCCAAACACAGCTAAAAAAATAACACATTTTCCCAAGATTACATTACCAAAAAAAGTTAATGTCATTGGAATATATCCATTAATACTGCTTGAAGAAGCATTATCTTACATTAAAAACATGGATGATATTTTTTTAAAAACCTTAAAGCATTAAAGTGCTTTAACCAATAACAGAGAAGAGGCTGTTTGTGCGTCTGAAACAGTGTTCTGAGTGACAGGTGATGCCGGGTCCCTGTGTGTCGGGCACCTCGGCCGACAAACCCGAGTGCGGCCACTGCCTCCCAGCTGCCCAGACCTGGGCGAACGGCCGCAGATGGCGGAAGCGAGGGGCCGGTCTCAGGCCGACGGGAGGTGACCTGCCTGTCAGCTCTTTCTCTGTCCTCACTCAGCAGACCCAGCTCGACCCAGGGGACCCAGGGGCCATGGCCCCTCCCTCCTTTCCTCCCTCTCCACAATTCTGGGAAAACCTTCACCTTAAAGATTCATTTTTTCTTGATTTTTGGATTTTATAGAGCTAGGGTTTCAAACCTAGAAGGATTCTTGTTCCTGGCAATCTGCATTTTCTCTTACCATGGCAAAGTTTCAAATCTACATATTCTAGTGGCTTCTTCTCCAGCGGAATGAGGACGGGGCAGCCGTCTGCTAAGTTTGAGGCGGTCTGGGAAGTTCGTGCAGCCCTGGGCCCCGATGGGAGATTCTCTGCATGTTCTTGGGACGGCCTTCCCTGCTCTGTCTGTGCCGGCTGCCCCACGAACTCGGGACAGCCCCTGCCGGCCTGGGGCGACAGGGATCTGCCTAAGAAGCAGATCTGTGTGAGACCCTGGAGGGCAAGTGCCTCTCGAAGGCTGTGGGATGGGCCTCGTAGCTCCGGAGGCGGAGCCGGGCTGGGACTGGGGCTCCAGCCTGTGGCCTCAGGGAGCAGGTGCCCAGACTGCAGCCGGCTTCCCCACGAGCTGGGTGCGATGCTGGGGTGGGGGACTTAGCCCTTCTGGCCTCAGTTCCTCACCTACGAAATGGCAGGGAGCGTGCACTTCCTCCCGGGCCACATGAGAGGGAGTTCAGGTGACATGCAGCCGGGGCCACCACACCTGTCCCCAGAACCTCTGAGCCCACTGCTGCCTCTGCTGTGACTGATCCTCTGGACATAGCTGTGGCTTCTGGGGAGACGGAAGCCCCCCTGGAAGCTGAGCAGTAACAGCCTGCCCCGGCAGGAAGGAGCTGGAAGGACCCCGGGGCTCTCAGCCCCACCTGCCAGCCGGAGCCTCCCTAGAGCTCCGACAGCCCTGGGGCCTGCTCCACTCTACGCCCCACCCAGGTGTCCATCTTTGCAAAGGGCCCCGGGGCGTGCGGTGGGGGATATGGCTGAGTCGTTGTAGATGCCGGCGCCTGCGCCAACACCGGTCGCTGCTGCTGGGTGGAGACTGGTGAGGTTTGTGGTCGCCACTCTCCAAGACAAAGTCCCAGTCTGGAGCCCACCCTGCAGGGGCCTGTGCCTACATCTCCCTCTGGCCTGCGGGGCTTAATTGCTTCTGGGGGGTGACATTAGTGGGGACAGAGCCAGACCTGAAGGAGCTAACGCCGCACGTACCCCAGGCAAAGGGGTGGGGGCCGGCCACGTTGGGAGGGCCTGGCAGCTGCGCTCTCAGCCCGTGTGACTCCCGTCATGCCACCTGCCTTCGTCACACACTGTGAGGGTCCCGTGCTGGCCCCCTGTCCCCTACCCTGGAGCTGTGCTCTGGGACAGGTGATGCTCTGGCCATTTCTGTCCTCAGCAAGCCCCTCAAGGACAGAAATGGCCCCGACAGGTAGGCCTGTGCAGAAGCTGCCTCACGCGGCCCCCTAACTCCTTGGGGTGCTTCATGAAGGCCTGGATCCCCCCACACCTGCCTCAGTGCCATCCCCACCGAGGACGCCACGGGCTACCTCGCCTTGCAAACAGAGCCACGGGAAGTTCCCAGCCACACCCGCTGGCCGCCCCTGCCCTGCCCCACCCCGGCAGACACTCTTGGGCTTCTTCCCATCCAGCCATCCTGGGGACAGTGACGGCCCACCCGGTTTGTCACTCAGCTTCTTTAGCCCGGCTCGTGGGCACGAGGCTGAACTCAGAAGGCAAGGTGAAAAAGAAAAGTTAAAAAAAAAAAAGCTGACCCACCATGTAGAAAAGGATATCATTTTATCAAATATTGACAATTTTCAGGATTCTGGGCACAAGCCTGTAGTCCGTCTGCCGAGGGTCACCCAGCGGAGGCACGTGTGTCTGGCGGTGCTGCCTCCCCAGCCTTGTCCTGGGGACGCGGCCGGCGGTGCAGGCCCCTCTCGCGCCTGCAGGGGGCGCCCTCACCCCGGGCAAAGACGTTCTGGGCCATTTCCTGAAAATACACGAGCTTTGCCGTCACAGGCTGCTCGCTGCTACCCAGAACTGGAGGACGCCGGAAAATACTTTTTGGCAGTCTGTCAGCACAGAGGGTCCTTTTGTCTGGAGGGATCTCGCTGGCTCGGGAGCGTCCCCAAGATCAGGCGGGAGGACCGCGCCCACGCGGCGTCCCAGACAGTGGCAGGGCTGAGAGGGCGGCGGCCCTTGCCTCAGTGTCCCCCGCGCCTGGCTCTTGAGAGCACACCGCTAGGGCAGCTCCAGAAGGTTCCGCAGGGGCCATTCAGGCTGTCCGCGGGCGGCTTCGCTGACACCCCTCCCCCCAGGCGCAGCCCAGAGGTCCTGCTCCCGCGCAGCTTTACGAGGAAGGAGGAGGGCGCTCCGGCTCCGGCGGCTTCAGTGGATCTCGCCCTCCGACAGCTCCTCCTTGATGGGCTGCTTTCGGGACTTGCAGTCCGGCAGGTCGAAGCCGAAGTCGGCCCACTCGTCGGGGCCCGCGCCCCCGCCAGGGCCGGCGCGGTTGGGGATGGTGATGGTGTGGCGCACGCGGAAGTGCACGGCCTCCATGACGCGCTGCCGCTGCAGCTCCCCCGAGCCGCCGATGGAGATGGTGGCCGCGTTGCTGCTGGCGCGGAGCAGCTGCTGGCCGTAGTCGTGGCCCTGCTTCAGGTCCTGCAGGCCTCGCCAGATGGTCATGCGGTACTGGTCGGGGATCTTCAGGGCCCCCAGGTCCTGCAAGAGTTCCAGCCCCGTTAGAGAGCAGAGGTCCCCCAGGGGGTGCGGTCTGGCACAGCAACAGCTAGAGCCCTGGGCAACCACACAGGCCTCCCTTGGGGGAGCTGACGCAGCTCAACCTGGGTCCCCAACGCCCGCCCAGCGCCACACAGAGCACATGCACACGCTGGTGAGGCGAGGGTTAGCGTGACCTCGGCGCGGGGCGGGGGGTGGGGGGGCAGGGCAGTGAGTAGACACACAGACAGGGACAGCTGCCTCTGGCAAACTCTGCGCCTCTAGGCTGTGGCCTGGGCTGGGGACGGGCTTGGATGGCCTTTGACCTGGGCAGGCTGGGGCTGCAGAGGGCTCCAAGGTCCTGGGCTGGAGCTTCTCAGGGCCCTCCCCCTGGCTAACAGGGCATTATGGGTCCTGCGGCCCTACTGTGCCCAAGTCTTCAGGACTGGGCCAGGTGTTCTTACATAGCCCAGGACAAGCCCCGGCTGCTGAATCGTGACGCTTGGCATCAGTGGCCTTGTGTGTATGATGAGCAGTGTGGCCTGGCCAGCCACTCGCCTTCTCTGGGCCTCAGTTTCTCCCTGTGTAAATGGCGGTAACCCAGACCGACTCCCTCTGACACTTCCATTTTTTCATGTCTGTGCCACGGAAACAGCCCGTCCCTGAAGTAAAAGGCAGCCTGGCTCCGGGCAGCAGACTCTGGCCTGCGAAAGACCCTCAGACCCCAATGGCCAGTTCGGCAGCTGGAGGCCCGGTACACGCCCCAGCCAGCCCTGCGCGCAACGTGACCGATGCTCGGTGCTGACTTCAGACGGAAGTCACTGCTCGCCCTGGGAAAGAGTTTCCACACTCCCTGCCGGGAGACGATCACCCAGGTGGAAGACAGGCCCCTCCAGCAGCCGCCTCTGCGAAGCGGGGCTGCACTGCCTGGTGTGGGGAGGGGCTGTCTGGGGCCTTTACCTCGATCGTTAGGTTCTGCAGGTGGTAAATGTTCTGTAACCCTTGGGAGGTGAAATACTCGATGCAGTTGGGGCACCCCAAACCTGTTAAAAAACTGCAGAGAGAGTTTGAGAAATAAGCGGCATTAACTTCGGGCTACGTGGACACACCGCGGAGTGGCCGGCCGGGGTGGGAACCGCCTCCGTGGCAGCTCCTGGCCACACCACCCACCACCCTCGGTGGCCACGGTGTCAGGTGAGCCTGCGGCTCCCGCAGGATGAGCGTGTGCTCAGCCTGGGGCGCGTCCGCGGAGGACCCTGCCTCTCCTGCTCCTCCTCCTTCTAAGGGAGCCCCCGGCATCTGTTGGATACTCCTGTGTGGCGCTCCCCTGCCTGTCTGTTCTGGGGTGGCTGAGCGGCTAACACACAGGACGGGACAGGGCGTCATGCAGAGACCGCTCACAGGGCAGCAGCCACGGCACACTGAGGACGGGGGCAGGGTGCCAGCACGGGCTCAGCTCCAGCGGCAGTCCACGTACCTGACGAGGCTGGGGTCGGCGTGGTAGGGGGGTGGCGGAGTGCAGTGGGACCCTGAGACCATGGGCTGGGTGCCGTGGCCGCCGCTGGCCTCGCCGTTGGCTGGCAGGGCGTGGCTGTGGTTGCTGAGCACCGCAGGGCCTGGCGGAGGGCAGGTCGCACCGTCAGGGCCAGCCCGGCCGGGTGTCCAGGTGCAGCCTCCACCCAGGCTCGGGACACCATGGGAGGCCCCCGAGGCCCGGCATTGCGACCTGGCCCCGCCACCGCTAGCGGGAAGCTTGGGCAAGGACTGACCACCCAGGGCCTCATCTCCTCGCTCCCCGAGGTGGGGACTGGGCAATGGCCCACAGGAGGGGCTTGGGCCTTGAGGGGCACGGCAGCCACACCTGAGTGCTGGCCACATCCTGGGGCTCTGATGCTGGGCCTCCAGACACCCCCACGGCGGGGGTGCTCACTCGTAGCACCTGTGCCCACGCAAGGACCTTCCCAGGAGGGAGGCCCAAACTCCACCCCGTTGAGCCCCCGGCACGTGCCGGGCCCCCAGAGCGGTCTTAGGTCATGGAATCATCACAACGAGTGGGTCTGGCACTTCTGTTACCATTTGCTGATGGGGGAACTGAGGCTCTGTGAGGAAAAGAACCTTCCCAAGCTCCCTCGGTTGCCAAAGGTGGTGCAGGGGGTGAGGCACCTGCTCTTAGCCACATCACCCTCCGCCTCCCGCGATCGGGAACCGACAGCGTGGACCTGCCGAAGGTGGGAGGTGCCCGCCACGGAGAGCCCTGTCCCCGGGCCTGAGCCACGTCCCAAGCCAGGCCCACCCTCTGGGCGCCCCACCCGTGGGCCCCACTGGCCCAGGGACTCACCCACGGGCCCCAGGCCGGGCCCGGCCGCCGAGCTGTGGGAGGGGGGCTGGCCCACCAGCTGATTGACAGAGGGCAGCTTGTTGACACCCCCGTGCACCTTGTTCATGGGCGACAACACTGGCCCGTAGGACGGAGGCTGCAGGTGGCTCCTGCTCAGAAGCAACAGGTCAGGTTGGCAGGAGGCAAAGGCAGCCTGGACCCCGCCGGCCACCTCCTCGGATGCCCTCGATGTCCCTGTGCCACGGACGGGTAGGAACCCTGACCCCTCCCCGAGATGTCAGAGAGCAATTTCTTCCTTGCCACCTTCCTGCCCACGACTGTGGCCAGGCACGGCCACTGGGCCTGCTCCTAGCACGGCCTGGGCCTGGGGGAGAGGGTGTTGAGGGCAGCTTGCACCACTGGACTTGGCCTCTGGTCTTAGGGGGTCAGTGTCACTCCGACCACCCCTTCCTGGCCTGCCCACTCAGCAGACATCTACGAGGCCCCACGTGGAGAGGGGTAGTGAAGCCCGTCACCCAGGCTCCAGGGCAGCCCAAGGTTCCAGAAGGTTCTTGGAGTGGAGAGGCTGGGAAGAGCCCCCTGAGATCCCGGCCCTGCTGCTTGTCCTGGAGCTGATGCCCTCCGGTGGGGTTTCTGGTGCACCTGCCGCCCTCCCCCACCCCCGGGGGCCGCAGGGCAATGGGGGACGGCGGGCGCACGGGGCTGACTCACGGCCTCTGCAGGAGCTGCTGCTGCTGCCGGTAGGAGTCAAGCAGCGGCTGCGGCACCAGCTCCATGAGCTCCAGGCTCTCCTTGAGCTTCATCAGGATCTCGAAGTTCTCCCGGCCTCGCACCTGAGCGGAGACGCGCATGAGCAGCTCTGCCCACGCCCGGTGCCGGGGAGGGCAGCCGCAGCCTCGGGGGAACGGGACTTGCGGCAAAGCGTCTCTCCCTTCTCGGGGTTCCCCGCATCCTGAAGACTCAGGGTGCCCCAGCCTTCTGACCCTGACCCAGTGGGGCCCCTGTCCCCGAGGGCTGTGCCCACTCCTTCCTCACGAGCCCTGCCCCTCGTCCTCCCCACCAGGTACCGGGTCCCTAAATCAGAGGCTCGTTCTCGAAGAGCTCAAAGAACTCGGGCTCCATCAGGGAAGACGAGCCCACACCCCGCACCGCCAGGTGGTCACACACGTGTGGTTGCACGAGGGCCCCTCTAGGCCCCTCCCGCCAGCCGGCCGCCCCGCGAGGGCGCACACTCACGTGCAGGTGGTACGTGTCCTCATCCCCGTGCCGCCTCTTCTTCACGCCGGTGCCCAGGGCGGGGACAGCTGGGGGGCTCTGCTTGAAAGCTGGAAGGCCAAGCAGGCGCAGATGAGCCGGCGGGTGCCAGGCCACGTGCAGAGGGTGTGGTGTCCCTCACCTGGGACACCTGCCCCACCAGGTCGGGCTGACCCTCCAGGTGAGCACAGCATGAACAGTCCAGAGGATGGTAACTCATGCAGATGGGCAAACCACTCAGGTGCCGCGGCCCACGGCCTGGGACAGGCAAGCTGTCAGGGGGCTACGCTCAGCGGGCTCAGCCGGGGACCCTCTGGGCCCAGGAGGCAGCTCAGGGGCTGGCCCTGTCCCCAGACACAGGCTCACACTGTTCCTGCCTGCGTGCCCCCCGACCATGTCGCCTCTGGGCCGCCCCCCACGTGGCTGGGTTGCCCGCCTGCCCCGGCCGGGGCCGCTCACCGCGCTTGCTGGCGGCGCCGTTCTTCGCGGAGCTCTCGTTCAGGGCCTGCTGCTCGCGGTAGTGGTCCTCGTCGGCTTTGCGGTCTCGGCCAGGACAGGCGCAGATGCGGCCCTCGAAGGATCGGCGGCCCAGCACCTGTCCACTGTTGGGTGGGCACGGCCAGGACCGTGAGCTTTGGGGTCCCACTCCCCCCACAGGACCTGCCTTCGTGGGCCGCGGAGTCGTGCTGAGTGCCCAGCGTGGCAGCGAGAGCGTCCCGCCAGGGGCGGCCACAGGCTCATGGCTGCGGCTGCTCTGAGGCCTCAACCGGGGACTCCCTGCTGCTCCCGGGGCAGCGCCTGCACAGCCCCTTCCCAAACTTGCCCCCAGGGCACCCACCATTGGCCTTAACCTCCCCATCTCCCCGACAAGCCCCCCAGTCACTGCCCGGCTCCACCCCACGTGCCCAGCAGACTTACTCCCGGGTCTCCAGGGTGATGATGATGAGGATGGGCCGCCGATTCATGCCCCCCACGCAGCTGCTGTTGCACATGAAGTTGTACAGGATGGTGGTGAATTCTGTCCCCACCTACACAGAGGGGAGGCAGGGAGACAGTTCCGCATTGGCATACAGGCCCCAGCCCCACATCCGGTCCTGGCTCCAGGTAGGCATGAGGACACCCTGCTCTGTGGTTTTCCATCATCTGTCCAT